TATATATATATATATATGTATATATATATATATATATATATTCTTTATTCTTTAAGTTTTGTGAATGAGTTACAAAAAAAAAATGTTATGGATTTCAATATTTTCTGAAGATTAAATTGATCTCGCTAAAAAAAATAAGGGGGCAATTGATATGCTTCCAATAAATCCCAATCATCCAACACAAATCTTAAAGCATGATGCAGATCTTGAGGTAATCTTTTGAGCAAGAAATATTCAAACTTCGATTAAGAATCATCCAGAAGTTCGATTTCAACAAACTTATCTTCAAACTAACCGGATCGACGAGACAGACCCAATACTACTAATTTTGATCCAATCCGAGTCAAATCAAGCTTAGATTAAATCATTCAACCACTCTTAGAAACTTTTCGGGCATAGTTGGAAGGTTAAACGAATGTTGAATTTGGTGAGATTGAGATCGAATCAAGTGTCTCGACAAGACAAATCCAACGAGCTCAAGATTGCTCAATTTTAACATCATTAAGCCCTTAAATCTCCATCAAATGTTCTATGATAAGGAGAACCTCTTCGGGTCGTTCTATAAGAGTGGTTCATATTCCTGCATTAATCGCTCTCGTCACTTTGAGAAGGGGTTGAAGTACATCATTACTCCTGTCATCGTCGATCACCGCCGACCATCATCGATCACTACTTGTCAGTCGTTGGGGATCACCATCGATCGCCGCTCATAATTGTGACAAGTTCTTCCACACACCGACATTGTAACTTGGAAGACTTTGTAACCCTTTCTCGCCTATGGGACAAGGGAGTAATTGTAATCTTCAGTTCATATTGAATTTATTCATCTGAACCAGACCCTGTATTTTTTTTCCTTTACAGGCACATAAGAACTTCTAGTGTTTTTACTGACTATTTTCTTTTTTAGTAGCATGTGTTGAATTCTCGTGCAACGCTAATACAATAATCTATTACTCTATTGCTGCAAATATTCTAGCACAATCAATTAGTAACTTTGATTGTTTGCTGCCTTCGATGGGACTATAAGGGTCCATTTGAGGCGGCGGTGTGGTGGCATTTTCAGAGCGCATCGCAGTTTAATCAACGTTTTCAGACCTATAAAATTAACAGTTTAACACCGGACCTAGCTAGGTGCCGTGACAACTTTCTAGTTGCAGTCTGACTCTTAAAAAAAAAATTATAATAGTCATCACAGTTTTTTGATCAACAGATTATTTTTCAACAACTTCACGGGTGCTAACTAACTCAAACAAATCATAATTGTAATTTAATCATTGCTAATCTACTTGATTATGCATAGAAAAGCGGCACACAAAGTAATTCACGTGATTAAAGCATCTCACTTTACCAACAAGGCCCACAATCATTGTACTCCTCTTGAAAATAGGGGCATTTGCATGCATAGCACACAACTCTTGTGCATTTAAATATCTCGTACCTAAACTTTCATATTTACACATATAACACTCAGATATTGAATACGGCACAAAAAAAAATACTATTTCCATTTTTGAAAAATGAAATAAATCATTATATGCATGGATTTAAATATCAAAAATATTACGTGCGTAAATATATGTTAGGTATGACTCATATACCAAATAAGAGATAGATGCTGGAGCGGAACAGAGCAAGTCTGTCCAATCGGTGGAGTTTCGTTTTGTGGTTTGGGGATACAGGGGCAACGCCCCCGTGGTACGGTACAAGAGCAATTTTGTAATTACATATTGTATGCCAGAGCTACATATATATGATGTATCATAACCTTAAAGGGATATTATACTCTTTTTCTGAATTGAAGGAAAAGCCGCTGTTTTGCTCCCGAGGATGACGTAGGCATCTTTGTCGAACCTCTTTAATCTCTGTGTTTCTTTCTGGATTGATGTCGATTCTTGCGTTCTTTTGCCCTAAAATTCTCAACAATATAAATGTTTAGGTATGAGATATGTGAATACATAAGAATTGCGTGTAAGTTATGTAAATTTCTTTCTAAAATAATATAATAATAGAGTGATATAAAAAAAAATTAGATGAAAAAACTCTAATCAAAGTTTAATTATTTGGAGATGTGCATAATTTAAATTTTAGCAGTACTATGTTCATTTTAAAATAAAAATCAATAATTTTGTGATTCACTCCACTTTAATTTTTTTCTCTTACTACAAGGAGATTAAAATTTTCAGGAAATCATGAAACAAATTACATAAAATTAGACAAAATTTACCATACTTATTCTTAGTTTCACTGTCATTTTAATTTCTCAATTAAATTAAATCATTTGGTTGCACAATTAAATTCTTAAACAATAAATAAAACTAAATTATTCAACACTAAAAATAAATATTAACACATTATTTATTCATATTTTTGAATTGTATTTTATAATTATTTAATTATATTAAAAATTAGTGGAATCAAGAATACTCGAAATAATAGTTGATACATCATAGTACAAAATATAAATAAATATCCTAATGTATATATATCATTCCCCCTCCAATAACACATATAGAGGAAAAGTTATGGCATCAGGAGTCCTGATATAATTTTACATCTGGACTTCAATCAAGACCTGTCACATTACCCATGTATTAAATTATTTTTTTCTATTAAGGTGAGTCTGCCTGTATACGTGACAGGTCCTGATTGATGCCCCGATAAAAAACTGTATCATGACATCACGTACAATATTTTTTCCAGACAATGAGGGTTGCGTCATTGACACACACCATAAATTTTTAATTATTATATAAATAAAAGAAGTTAGTTTTACAACCTAGTAGTCAAAGTCATTAAGATCCATAACTGAAGCTTACCGGTCCTCCCAAGCCTTTTTTTAACTTCTAATCTGATCAGCCTAGCCGCGCAATATGTTCAATTTGCAAGGGCCTCCAAGCAAAAACGGCAGAATATTGCCCGCAACAGAAACACTGCATCCCACTATATTACAGAAGACGCCCCCTCCCATCTTCCCCCCTCTTCCATGTCTCAGAATTTGGCCTCCTTCCGTTAGAGCCATGAACTCCAAGTCCAATCTCTCTCTCTCTTTCCTCACCAATCATCCAACCCAAACCCTACCCCCACTACCCCCCTCCTCCGACGGCCGGCCGCCATCTCGCCGGCGAACAAACTCGCGCACACCGTCCTTCTCCAGCTCCACCTCCTCCTTCTCCAGCTCCCCTTCCTCCTTCTCCACCTCCTCCTCCCCTTCCCCCTTCCACAGCCTCCTCCCCTCCTCTTCCATCCCCTTCTCCTGGGAACGCCAGCCCGGCATTCCCAAATACATCTCCGCCGCAGCCGCCGCCTCCGGCGGCGGCGACGAGAGAAATCTCCTTCTCCCTCTCCCTCCGCCGCTCAGATCCGTCTCCAGAATCGCTCAGAAGAAACGATTCAACGCCGCCGTCGATCCATTCACCGCTGCTCTCGTCGAATGCGCTAAAGAATCGTCGGATGCTGATGCGATCTGGTGGCGGCGATCTGATGGATCTGGAGGCGCAGTAGATAAGATGGTGGGAATCTGTCGCCGGACTGTAATGGCGGATCGAGCGGGTTTTCAAGACCTTTTCGGCTCTTTCAGCTGTAAAACCTCTTGTTCGGTATCTGATGCGACGACGATCGCGGTTCCGAGATCTAGGGTTCGGTCGGCCGGAGCTTATGGGTTATTGGACCGGCGGTCGGAGTGAAATTCGGTAGGAGTTAGTATAGCGAATAAAATAATTGCTGCGAAATGAACTCATGCCGCTGTAATTTCTGTTCCAATTTTTATATATATTTTGTTCTGGATTTTGTATCATTTGCGGTTGGAGAAAAAATTGGGATATCATCTTTAAATTTGATTTAAATTGTTTGGTTTTACAATTATGAGATTTGTTTTAAAATAAGTAGGGGTGTAAACGAGCCGAACACGAGCTAGCCCAGGCTCAGCTCGTGTTTTGCTCGTTTATATTTCGAGCTTAAAAAGTATGTTCGTGTTAGGCTGGTTTGCTTAGCGAGCCGAACACCAGCCGTTCACAAACAAAAAAATCATTTTGACAACCCTAATCACGTGGCTATCAGATGTTAAAGATTGGGGCAAGATTTAAAACATCATTTGAATCTAATTTAATAATTTTTATTTTATTTTCTTCATTAATACTTTTAATTGATTGTAAATCTTGGTAGCCTCAACTAAATTTTAAAAAAAAAACTACTCATTAAAAAATATATATAATTGATTAGTAGTATTTCAAGTCAAAACGAGCCGAACGTGAACGAACAAATATTTGTTCATATTGTTCGTGTTCAGCTCGTTAACTTAGCGAACGAGCCGAGCACGAGCTTCTTAACGAGCCGAACACGAGCTGTTTGCGAACAACGAGCCTTTTTGACAGCCCTAAAAATAAGTATATTTTATGATAAATCAATTAAAAGTTAAAATTATATTTGCTTTTTGACCATAAAGTCCTTCAAATTAAATTTAGGTGGGATGGGTAAGAATATCTCAATGGACCTTTATGTTAACTATTTAGATGATTTCTATCATATCCAATTTTCCAATTTTTATTCTTTTTTTAATCTAAGGATGAAATATCATTACCTAAAATAAAATATATAATTAATAAGATACAAGGAAAATGAAATCCGATTGGTCTAGTTTGATTGTGATAAGAAGTCCTCAATTTGGTGGGCTAATTGTAGAATGATTCAAATTATTATAGTTGTCATACGGCTATGACCCTGTTGATTGAGCTTAACAAATGACATTTTAATCAAATAAGCTTAATAAATGAGTCTTATCTTGCTTCTTTGGGGGATGCTTTTTGAGTATCGTGTCTTAATTAAGGTCTAATCAAGCTTCTTAAAGAACTTGTTCACGAGCTTTAAATGGCATTGTTCAAAGTTATAAATGTATTGAAGAATTAACTATCAAGATTATTCATTTAATGATGAAAATTTTATGAAGTGTGCAAGATTGTTGTAATAGTTAATCAAATGATCAATGGTAAGCTTTCAACAAGTTGAACCACGAGTAATTTGTCAAACAGGATTCATGTGTAGCGCTAAAGTCTATTATAATTGTAATTAACGGAAATATCTTTTTGTTAAGTGATTTGATGATCCATCGTTTGTTTATTATAAGTCAAAAAGATAATGTGAGGAAATTTTTATGACCAAAATTTAAGTTAGGAAGTCATAACACTGTCGATTGATTTTGATTAAAATTTTCCATCTAAGCTAGAGTATTATTTTGGAAAAATTTTAGGTCAATTTTTATGATCAAAGTTTCAAAATCATTGATCAATGAAGAGTGGTTTGAGTCACAATATATAAGGTTGTCAAAACAACTCGTTGTTCGTGAACAGCTTGTGTTTGGCTAGTTAAGAAGCTCGTATTCGGCTCGTTCTTTAAGTTAACGAGTCGAACAAGAACACGAACAACATAAACAAATATTTGTTCGTTCGTGTTCCGCTCGTTTTGGCTCGAAGTACTACTAATCCATTATATATATATATATAATAATCAATTAAAAGTATTAATGAAGAAAATAGAATAAAAATTATGAAATTAGATTCAAATGATGTTTTAAATCTTATCCCAATCCTTAACATTTGATGGCTACGTGATTAGGGTTTTCAAAATGACTCTTTGTTCGTGAACGGCTCGTGTTCGGCTAGCTAAACAAACGAGTCGAACATGAACACACTTTTTGAGCTCGAAATATAAACGAGCCAAACACGAGTTGAGCCCAGGCTCGCTCGAGTTCGGCTCATTTACACCCCAAGAAGTATACATAACAAAATTATGAGAGTGCACTCGCGATGAAAATAATTAAAAAGAAAGAATCAAATTCTAATAATCTATGGTGCAATGTGTGCTTCTGTTTGATAAATATGTATCTTTAGTTGATGCTAAGAATGAAGAAAATAATTGGTTGAAAAGCTTGGTTAAATGATGTAATTGATTATGGGTAGGGGTGCCAATGCCAACTAAGTTTTACATGAAAATAATCAATTTAAATCCCGCACGACTCAAAAACCCAACCCGAGTCAGACTTAACTCAAACAAGTAATAACAAATAATAATAATTTGCAACGGTTTAGTGGAGACTCAACCTGAAATGAACAGGTAACATGATTTTAGGTTTATTTCAGTTTTCATTTAAAGTAAAGTTCTATTAAATCAAGTCTTTTTTTTTTTTTTTTGTCTCAAATCTAAGCAGGATGTTAATGATACGATTTTGAGTCGAGCTAGGATTCGGCTCAAAATTGGATCCAAAAAAATTCTGTCCAAAATTTTTGCTCATAACTCGACTTTATTTCGATCCGATCTTGATCCAAGCCAAAATTCGAATAAATTTTCGAGCGATTAATGATCACCAAGCTAAATTCGCTAAACTCACAGCCTTGCCGTCAGTACGTCAATTAACGATTTGATTTTGAGTCAAGTTGTGGTCGGCTCGAAATTGGTTCGAAAATTTGATCCAAAGTTTTAGCTCATAATTTAACTAGTTTATTTCGATCTGATCTCTGTATGAGTTAAAATTCAAGTCAATTTTCAAACAATTAACCAATTTTAAGCTAAATTTGCAGCCCTGATCAAGGAATAATATTCCGTCAAACGGCCAACCACCAGGGGCCACGTTGCTCGCCGATGAGATATATGACGATATGGTGCCCAATAATTGGTTGTTCAGACGTGCGGTGTCCGGACGGAATATTCTCCCAATCACGATCCAAATTCAACCAGATTTTCTCGATTTAATTACACTGCCCGAATTCAATTTGAATATTACAAGGGCTAATCCGAGTACGAATTTTTCGTGCCAGACATAAGTGTACATTTCATATTGATTATTTTTGGTCATGCAAGAGAAGTACCTAGTCCATCTTTTTTGTTAATTAAGCAAAATAATCAGGCCTTTCTTGTTTATATCTATGTTTAAATGACGAAATGCTACGTTTGAATCTTAATTAAGCGGAAGAACTCAGTCGTTTATCCCATATTTTGGCACAAAGAACACTGTAACACATTATTTCATCTTTTATGTTATTTCTAATACGTTTTCTTAGTCTTAACAAATCGACACGTAGTCACTCAACATTAAAAATTGAGCATCTTAAATGTGCATGTCATGTGAGAAAAATGGAAGCCTATTTTGCACGTTAAAGTAGACCGCCATAAAAAGGATAGAATTGCATAAATCTAAAGTAAAGAAAAATATAATATAAAAAGGGGGGCATTGACATACATACCGCCCAATTCCTATGTATTTAAATTTTAGATTTTACATTTATGCCACCCAAATCTGTCATACCACATAAAAAATACATTCATTTTAACTTTTAGTAAGTGAGATACAAATTTTCATGCATGAGTAAGGCTGCATGTTTGTAAAAATTGAAGTTTGGGGGTTAGATATGTAAATATATAGGAATTGAGTGGTACACAAGTAAATCTTTCTACAAAATCATAGTTAATGTGATCTCTTGACATGTAATTGGAGAAGGCAGGTAGGTGTGTGATCAAGCATATGAAAGAAGGGTTACAACTGATATATGGTTTAAGCTCTTGAGCATAGATAGATGTTATTTGGCAAAGTCAATCAACAGATGTTGTTGTGCAGTGAATGTTTGATGAATTACATTAGTGTTTTAATGTCTCTTAGTGGATGTTGGTTGCCTACATATGCGAATGACATTGGTCGATGGGTAACTAATATTGTGAGATGATTACATTAACTAACATTGATGGGTAGAAGATGACTAATGATATTAGGAGTATGATGTTGATTAAAAATTTAATTATGAATGTTGGGAGATACTGACAAACATTCAATATTGGAGAATAGATATAACATTAGTTGAAAAGTGATTATTTGAATCATTCTCAATACATGAAGGGGGGGATCGAGTGGCTTAGTAAAAAAAAGAAAGGTCAATAGTTGGTAGATGTTGAATGTCTATTGTTAGCAAACTCAACTATGGATACATTTAACTTGTTAAGAGATGGGCATAATTAAACATCGGGAGATGGTTGTTGTTAGGTATGACTCATATATAAGATATGGGACAAATGTTGGAGCGGAACGGAGTGAGCCGGCGGAGCGGAGCGAACGAGCAAGCGTAGCGAATATAGCGAGGGGAGTGGAGCGGAAACATTTGTCAAAAAAGGGGGCAACCTCCCCGCGGTACATTTGTCAGCCGCTCTGCTCCCAACTACGTATGCATCTTTGTCAAACCTCGTCAAATTTGTGTTTTCTTCTGTGTCGATTCTTGCTTTTCTTTGCCCTAAAATTCTCAACAGATGTCTACAGACATTAAAATGCAATCAACTTAGTCATAAGCAACAAGCTAGGCCAATAGCTCACATCAATCAATTATGGACTTTTAGGCTTATTGATATTGTTGTGTTGCTATAACAAGTATACGTAATTGACATTGTCAAATGTTCTTAGACCCACAAAAATTAGTGTGAAGTAAAAAGGATCATCAATAATTGGCTTCGGCAAACATCATAAGTTGGTTATTGGTGGACATCATTGTTTGAGCTTTAGTGGAACATTAGGCAAAGTCGTGCAATAATGCTGTTAAATGGCTAGCATTGGAGGAAAAGCAATGCAATCATTGAGTTGCAAGCAACGTTGGATGCCGATGTTAATAATCTTTTTATGATAAGGAATATAGAGATTATTTTTCCCTACATGCCAATGAAATCTTTTTAATGGTTGGTTTGGAAGTCAATAGAAATTGTTTTATTTAAGTGAAAATTGAGGGAGATTTTAAGAGTTAGAATGTAAGTGGAAAAGCTTGATAAGCTTCATTAAAAAATAAAAATTTATAAAAGTCTGATTTTTTTT